CACACACCCTATCTGCAAGATTCTTTCAGACTTCAAAAAATGCTGAAACTTTAACTGGTAATTCACACAAGAAAGGCCTGTAAGAGCTGCATTCAATAAGGACAATCCAGATATAAAAACCATAGCAAAAAATTTGGCAGCCAAATTAATAATTGGTATAACTCCTTAGAAATACCTAAGGATTTTTTGGACTGCAAGTCCTTTTCCACAGTTTGTCCTTTAAATTTCCTGCATGCATCATGACTAAAAAGAATATATTATATATAAGATTTAGCTAGTCATAATATCAATACACTCCTTTGGCCACAATGAATAGTATTATTTTTTTTTATGAGTGCATATCAGACAGATATTTTTTTGTATTAAATGGGGCAGCTTTTAAAATATTTTTTATTTGGGAAGAGTGTTTTATTCTGATTATAAATTTTTGTGTTAGTCATCTCTCCAATATATTCAGACATTACAGTGCTCATTATCCTGAAGAAACAAACAAAAAAAAAGACAAGGATAATCATCAGGCCAGGTAACATCAACAACTTACAATGAGTGGCTGGACCCAGACTCCATTTTTATATCAGTCACAGGAAGGATTGTCCCTACTCAAAATAATTCAAGGCCCAAAGTCCCCATCCAGAAATTTATTTAGATTTTCCTTCTTCCATTGAAATCAATAACAATTACAAACCTACATCACCTTGTAGATCTGGTCTCAGGTATTTACAGTATTGTACCAGGAGTCAGACACTAATGTAAAAATGTACAGAGATTATTAGTTCCTATCTAACTGATCTTGTCTTACCCTACCTTAGTTAATATGGGTTTTTTTTTGTTTTCCTCAGATTCATCTAGCCTTGTAATACAAGATTAATTGCTTCTAGCCCAAATGTTGCCAACGACAATACCATAACTTTTTTTATAAAAGGGGGGATGGATGTATAATAGATCTGCTATTAATGGACTACAAGTACATTGAATACTTAGGGATTTGTTTAACCTCAGATGATCACTACATGAATAAAGTAAATTTTGTGGAGATAATTAATCAGCTTCAGGAAAAAGGAAGCTTGCACCTTTATTCATTATCTTACTGGAAAGAGCCATTTAAGTATGAATTGATTACCTGGAATACATTATCTTTCCTATATGCTGCCAAATATGGTTCCTTTTTCAGTTAAGTAGAATCACGACTTCTCATGTTTGGACCAGAAAGACATTGAATTTGCATTCCAATTTCATGCAAAAATCAATACAACCAAGAGACTTCCAGATCTCAAACTTCTATAATCTGTCTGTAGTTTGCAACAGAGAGATATCCAGAATTAGAACAAGAGTAAAGCAAAAGAACTTCAGTCAGGAAAATAATTCCTGATAAATTAACTGAATTCCCCCTACATCCCAGGTTCCAAGAGAAAATATTTGAAGTGAACTAGAATCCAAAAAGATACACAGATTTGGTCAAAATATTAATTTCCCTAACCTGCAGATTTAAAGTCTGTGAAATAAAGGTGTGGCCATGAGCATATGGGTGGGGTTATGGGCTATGATGGAGCAGCCTTACAGTGAAACACACCCAAGTTGTCAAGGCCTATGCTTGCTACTACCTCTTAGAACAGAGTATTTTGAAATAATTCTTATGGACCAGATCCAAATCCCACAATTTTTTTGTTTGTTTCAATGTAATAATCTCTATACTTTTACTCACCAATAATCAGGGTAGCTGCAGTGAGGAGGCACAGAGGCAGGCCTGACATACATAAGTTAAAATGAGGTACAGGTTGGTGTTCCACCTGCAGTGAAACAGAAAGTTGCAAAAAGCATGTGGGCCTCAGTCTCTGTATGAGTGGAGGCAGAATTTATCACAAGAACCACAAAGAGTGGCAGCATTTTGTTGTTCTGAAGCCAAAGAAAACTCCTGTGAAGCACAGCACTGAAGAGTAGGCCTGGCTGGGGCAGGTGGAGAGAAGAAAATGGAATAATCAGAGGACTGAGACCACTGATTCCCCCTTCTTTCCTTAATAAATCTGCATGTGTGTATTTTGTAGCCATACAGTAAAATAGTCATTTAAAAAAAAACATCTAAAATATTCAGTCATTTCATGAAATGCCTATTTCAATCCCAGATACAACTAAAATTTTCAGTTATTTCAGAAAATTACCAAATATCATAGATAGACACTGTGGGATGTGGCAAAAGCTAGTTTCTCTTGGGTCATGTAACAAGTGAAACAATACTTTTATTATGTTTATTTTTAAAGCTATATACTCATATTTGTGCCTAAAGCTACACATAGCAATACACATCACAGAGCCAATATTTATTTTCAAAATTGAGACTATTTCATAAAGTGATTTCTTTCTGTCCATTTTAAAAAAACAAATGCTTTAGAAAAAACACCCTAAACCAGATTACAGGGGAAGGAGGTTTGCTGAAGGCATTCCACCTTCAGTGATAACCTGACATTTAACCCTTGCTAGTGCTGGGATTTGCAGCCCACACTCACCTGCTAAGGAAAGGCTTCCTGTCAGCAGCTCAGGAATGAGCAGCCCAGGAGAGCAGCTGATGGTGTGCTGGACTCCATCAATGAGCACCTGGATCAGATGGAGACCATGGCCCATCCCACCTGCAAAACCTCTGAAGAGAGCTGCTATTAATACACAGTACTCACTGCCTGTCAAAATGAGGGAAAATCTATTTGCAATAGGAGTGGAAGGAGAACAGGTGTGGATCCAGCAACAGGCCCTGCAACAGGAATGCAGATTGATGAGACTTCAGGCCTTATGATTCCTTTTTCATTATTATTTATTATTAATTGTTTATGGACAAGAAATGGAGCTTCAGATGTGAGCTGAGACCCTGCTGCACACCTGGAAAAGAGAGTACATCTGCTTTAATCAGATCAATCTCATCATCTCACAAATTTGTTGAATTTAAGAATAGAATCATTAAGGTTAGGAAAGTTGTCTAAGATTATCAAGTCCAACCATTAACCCAGCACTGCCAAATCCACCACTAGATTCCTAAGTGCCACACCTAAAGGTCCTTTAAATACTCTTGGGGGAAATGATCCCACCACTTCCCTGGGCAGACTGTTCCAGTGCTTGACAAGTCTTTCAGCTAAGAAATTTTCCTTAATTTTCAGTTGAACCTCCTCTGCTGCTCTTTGAAGCCATTTCTTCTCATGCTGTCCCTTGTTCCCTGGAAGAAGAGATTGATCCCACCTGGCTTCAACCTTATTTCAGGGAGTGGTAAGAAGCAAGAAGATCTCCCCTAATCCTGATTTCTTCCATGCTGAGCCCCCGCCAGATCCCTCAGCTGATCCTCAGATTTGTGATCCCGACCCATCATCAGCTTCATTGCATTTTCTGGACACCCTCCAGCAGCTCAGTAGCTCAGAGTCACTCATGTTCCAGCCTTTCCTAGAAGTTTTGAATCATAATATGTCCTCTGAAACTGAAAATAAACCCACTACTGTCCTGAAGCACCCCTGGATATAAGCAGGATTTTGGTGCTGTGTGGGAGCCAAACAGAAGAGACTTCCACCTGAAGAACAGTTTCTCCTTCACACTCCAGTAAACAAATTGAAAAACTTATGAAGAATACAGTTTTAAAAGGAGACAACTTACCTGGAGATACTTTCAGTGTAAAGAAGTTCCCAGAAGGAGAGTCAACAAAAGGGCATGTGGTCCCATGGCTAGGGAATTTCCAGAGGACTGAGAAATGCATGACTGCTCCTTTGGTCCATATCACCACTGTTGTTTATTAATTCCCTGAGTAGTAAGAAGTGGCTACAGATGTTATTTCCCACATAACCACAGTGTGAAAGCACATGGATAATGCCAGGATTCACCTTCTGTCAGTTTATGAAACCAAGTGAAACAGGCATATGATCCAGAACACCTGTAATGCCAGTCAGTTGGCAAAAATGCTTGAAACCTCTAATTATTTCATGAAAGGACTGATTTCACAAGATGACAGTAATAAGCACAGACAACAGAGACATACACAGATTTTAAAATACTGCAGTGTATACTTATGTGTATATAGATGCACGCCAAGCTAAACACACATCAGCCAGTTGTTAAAGGAATTGGTTATTTCCCAGTGCCACCAGCTGTCTCCTGCCTCTGCAATGATGACTCAGTACAAACCAATGACCCTTGTGCTATAGAGAACAGTTTGTCTTTTTGAAGTTTGATTTGTCAGCAAGGATAATACTGCCTTAGCTTTTGCACTGTCCTCCAAAGTGTTCCTATAGGGCTCCCCAACACCTGGAGAGCAATGAATCAAAATCATTCAGGTCCCAGTTCCAGTCACAGCCATGCCTGCACATCACATAAAATGACTTTTTGGTTGTTGCTGTTATTGTTGTTGTTGTTGTTCTTTAAAATGTCATTTTCTACAGCATTGAAAAAGAAGTTTCTGAAATTTTCAATCCATTTTTCCACTACTTTCCTGAACTAACTTGGCAGTCCCAGGTTTCTTATCTCATGCTTCACAAATTAAATACAATGAAAAGACAAGAGCTTTTCATTTCAGGAGGCTGATATCATTTATGCTTTCATTTATTATTTTATTTTATTTTATTTTCACTTCAGTCACAACTTCTTACATTTCATCTTGTTACATTTTAGGCTGAAAGAGGTAATCTAAGATGACTATGTGGTTCTCCCAAGCCATAGCCTGTCAGATTGCTGAATTATCAGTAACTAGTCAAGCAGCACAGAAGAAACAGATCACATATGCCAATTCCTTCCTTCTTGGTAACCATTTTCCAGTCACTGGAGGAAAGTGCACAGTCCAATCTCTCTTTTGCATGATCAGAGTTAGTTCAGCTCTATAGTTTAGCAGATGCCCTTGGGCACCAGGTGGTCCAATCAATTATATCAGAGAAACCAATAAGTTCTGTATCAATCTGGAGATTCTTTGCTCTCTAACTTGTTAAAAGAACACATACCCTTTTCTTTTCTCCTATTTTAATGAAATTTCAGACTGCCAACATTCTTTTAAAATACTCTCAAGGAAAATAGAGCAATTAAACTGCTTTCAAAAAGATTGTCTAGAAATCTAACATCAATAGTTGGCATCTGGAAACAAAACATGGGATAAGAAAACATGGTGAAAATATCCAAATATCATGCACGTTGACATCTGTGTATTCAAGCTATTCCAACTGGAGCTATTCTGACTTACCCCAACAGGAAATCCTCCCCAGAACTGTCATGTCAACACAGATCAGAAGGGAGCACAACCTACACTGTCAAAAGCACTTAGAAACACCCTAAAGACAGTAACAATAAAATTAATGTCACATAACTATATAGAGCAGCCACAAGCCCTTGATGAATTGCTGAGGGTTTTGGTGTAGGGGTTTTTTTTATTATTATTTTCTTTTTGAGAAATGAAACAACTGTTGACAAATATTTTAGTGATATCTATCTTTTTCACAATATAATTATAATTCACAATCACTTGGTCATTAGCCTCACAGTATTTATTAACAGTCATGACTCAAGGCAGAAGTGATGTTTTATGTTTAACAAAGTGGACAGAAAGCCCAATCATTTGAATTCCATCCCCATTTCCACAAGACTTTCTTTGTGGACTTAGCAAGCACCACATCTTCTATATTCCTCAGTTATACCATGGGTGAAATCAGGATAAGTCTTTCCCCCACTTGCCAGAAACTTGTGAAGATTAACTTATGATTAGTGAGTTGTTTTAAGGTGATTAGCTGAAAAGGAATGTATATGTAAATTATTTCCAATCTTGTTTAGGCTACTGATGCAGCATAGATAGATGAATATAGTTATTTTTCTGTGTACAGAATTGTAAAATCCAAATTCTAGCAGCTGCAAGCATTAACAGAAGTAATGACAAATGATCTGCATTTTCTTCATTAAGGTAAGGGTTGTATATTACAGTCTAATCAATAATAGAGTCATGCTACTAAAAATGAGATAGGTAATTATTTAGGGAAGCAAATAAATGGAGTCTTAGGGCTCTTTTCTACCACAATTCAACTTCCCTGTATTTTGGCTTTTAGTATATTTTAGGGGAAAAAAAAAATTCCCTATTCAGACAGAATAAAGTCTACAGCAAACTATTTCAAATCTCCCCATTCTGGAGGAAGACGGCAGCAGATTTGTATGCAGTGACAGCTTTAACAAATCACCTGATAATGGGGTGTGGAGTCTGCAAACATGTTGCTTTCTTCCTCAATGGATAGCTTTCCTAGTGCATTCAGGGATTATGCATCTACTTGTCGGCAAAAATAAGTTGCTGCTTTTCACTCCCCTCAGCTTTGCACAGGCAGCACTGTAAAAAGAATGGGAATGAATCTATTAGTACTTGTGCATCATAAATACATTTGTTTACAGAGTCCCTTGTGCTTTCAAGACAACAGAGTTGCATGATTAAATGCAAAATAACGCTGTGGAGGAAGAGAAGCCAGACACGCAACCGCCTTGAACTTTTCCTCCACTCCATGAAAACTACATAAAAAACTCCCAAGGCAGAATTCCCCACAGGTATGCATAGGTCAGAGGAGAGTTTTACAGCCAGTTTGCAGCCACTTTTCACACAGGTATAAACGACTGCATAGCATTAAGGCTGTGCTGAGCACATTGCGTTGCTGTTATATAATGTGTCCACCAGAGCTGTTATTGCTTTTGATGATGCTCAGGAAACAAAGAAATCAGCTTTGTTCAGAAAACTCAAGCAGAATGCTTGTGCCTAGCAGAAAAAAGGGAGGCAAGATAAACTCTGAGCTCTGGAATAGTTGCTTCTGAAGGACCTAATTAAATTTCTTGAGCATCATCAGCACCTAAGAATGGTGTCACTGTGCATAAGGAAAAACCAGCCCCACAGCACTGGATAGCAAGACATGCTTCACCCTCACCTGTGAGACATTCAGGCAATCCAAAGCTGGGCTGTCCAAGGGAGAGGGACAGATGCCCACTGGTGACTTTTTCTGTGTCCCACCACGGCAGAGTTAGTGCTGCTTTACCTTCTCTCATAGCAGCAGTGTCATGAGAGATTCGAGGCTGGAAAAGTCCCCTGGCACATGGAAGCAAACCCTATATGGCTCCTCAGGTTGCTGATAGCTTTAAAACATTCTTTTGTGCCCTATAGAGAGACTAACCTACAGGGAAAGGTACTGAAATAAAGGACCTAAATGGCAAAGGGTATTCATGCCAAAGGAGGGATTTCCCTTCCATTTAACAGGCTGTTCTGCGCTGTGATGTTAGAGGGAAATCTGGTTAGCAGCAGATGAGTGAAATTATGAGTCATATGGCTGCTTTCTCTTTCTACTCAGCCAGGCAGGATGGCACATCAGAGCCAATTTCTCTCCTCAGGTCTATGTACATGTAGACCAATATTTTTTCCTCAGTCCAAAGAATAGAATTTTGTTCTCCTTTATATAATTTCATATTTAAAATTAAAATGTCAGTGAAGATTAAAATCTTTGCATGGGATTTTCACCCAGAGTATAGTCACTGTGACATAAAGGCACCCACATCATCTTCACCTCCAATGTCACCAAAAGCTCAAGAACTGTGCTTTTCACCCTAACTGTGGATGTCTTCCTCTATGAAAGATGATGCTAAAAATTCCCCAAAGTCCCTCAGATATGATCCTGGCTTTGCGAAAATGCCACAGGGCAATTCAGAGCAAGTTCTGTAAGTAATTCAGTTGCCTCATCACAGGTGCCCCAGGGACTCTGGGGGATTCTGGCAGTGTGGCAGAAATGCCACAGGACCAAAGGCTTTTAGACCAAAAGGCTTTTATGACCAACAGGACAACCCAGTGGAGAAACAGCTGCAATTCAGGTCAGATAAGCTTTCATGTAAAAACACACCTGAATCCCATAGAGGGTGATCAATCTTTGCACTGACTTCTTCACTGGATTAGGTACCCATGGTTTTATTTGGAGTGGGATGCAGTTTACTAAAAATAGATTTAAGAGCATATTGGAGTTTTCTAAAAGACAAGGGAATATTGCTGAAAAACACAGTCACCAATCCTTTGCTGCACCATTAGATGTCCATACAGCTCCAAAAATATTGGTCAGCCTGAAACTTCGTACAAAGTAACCAAATAAAGCAACATTTTTATATGGTGGGAAAGTCCTGCATTTCCTTTCTGTGGTTTTATATAACATTAAAAATAAATAATAATTAATATTATCTCTATATCTATATATAATATCTTAATGTTATCTTACTATCTTATTTTTTGTTATCCAATGTTATTTTGCTATACTTAAAAATAAAGTTGTACAAAGCCCCCAGGTACAGAAGTTCTAGGCAAAGAGGCATTCATCACTACCATATATTTCAAAGCAGATGGGCAGAAATTCACCGGTGGGACAGTTTAAAGGGAGTCTCTTGCTTATCATTTTCTCCTTCAGTCGCATGGCATTATGAAAGTTCAAAACAAGGAGCTCTGAAGAATGTAAACCTTCAGAAAGCTACACCAAAGGAGAAGGTGAAATATAATGATTTGCCATTACAGCCACAAAGTCACAAAGTAGAAAGAGAGAACAAATCTGGGTGTTTAACAGCATCAGATAAGTAGAGGAAGCAAGGGCGGGAGAAAGTACCTTTTAAATTACCCTTACCCAGATGTCATCAAATTTCTTCAGAAAACACAGAGCTGAATCTAGTTCAGTTAAGCACTGAAATTACAGTAAATGGGGTTATTAAAGTTCCTTCCTTTTGAAGACTAGTAGAAATGTTCACTGGAGCCCTGAAATCCTGCACTGATGAGAGGTTTATTAGCATATGGATGGATGCATGGATGAAAATCAGGTGAGTAAATTTGTACTTATAGAAGAAGGAGGATTATTTAGCCTAATAAAAGAAAGACAGAGTTTAGGACTGGGCTCACTGCCCTGATTTCAAGACAAATTGACTCAGACTTCCAGATTTTCCACTATGTCAAAGAAATGGAAAAGGCTATGACCTTCTAAAAATAAACGTGTTGCAGTTAATATATGGTGTTGATACCTTTCTATAGAAAAACTTCAGACAGTAGCACATTTCATGACTTATGAAATTCAGTGGAACAATTATGTCTGCAATTACATAAGTCTGTGCTATTTTGACTTTGGCCTAGTTTCATTATATTTTAGGTTTTAACCCAAATTGTCATAGGTTTTAATGACTTTAACAGATATCCTTCCAATTTAAACCAATGTCATCAAGTGCTAAATCAGGTACTTTGTGCTCATATGATTAAAAATAGATTTCACACACCCATTCAAGTATCATACCTTTACAGCTGACAAGGAGTAAAGTCAACAGCTTGTGCCTAATAGGAAAACAAGAGAATTAACTGGAAAGACACTCTTCACCCCATGCTGGATGACTGCTCACCAAAAAAGTTTGTCAACTCCTTGCTATGTAATACCTCAGTCACTACAAATGAGACAGTGAGACAAGCAGAGTTAGAAACAGAGTTTATCATATCATGAAGTTCAGCCACATGAAAACATTGCCCATGAACTGAGATTGGAAAAGAGATACACCTATGATATAGCTATGATAAAAGTCCACCAGCTGTATTTGCACCAGAATTACTGTTTTAAAAGAAAACTAAGTGGTTTCAAAGCCATCAGCTTATAGGTAGAAAAATCACTTTGTTCAGTTAAGCAAGGAACGGATGTCTCTGACTTAGTGAGATGTTGCATTTGCTCATCCCTGCTCACACCCACTGCTGACCCATGAGCTTTGACATTTTCCCAAATGGAACAGAGCAGCTCTATTTTCTGCCCACGTGAAACACCCAGTTGTCTCTGTAATCTCAACACAGTTTTCATGCCTGAATTTTTTGCAAGGAGAGCAAAGTAGAACACAACACACAAATACAAGACACAGTCCTACCTATGTCCTCATCTAACAGCACCATCTTTGTAAATTCTTCAGAATTTAGGTGCAAAGATTGTTAGTTGGGCTCAAATCCTGCTGTAAATTCGCAGCTGGTAGGTGACTGCCAGAAAATTTCCCAATTTGCACCCAATTCTACCATTGAGAAAGGTGTCATTAGCCAAGAACAGCTTACTTATGGGAACCGTATATCAGGATCTATCTGAAATATTTTTCCTCTCTAAAGGATAAATCAGCCCAGAAATCTGCCCTAAAACTTGACATCAGAAAAAAAAAAATCCCAAGGCATCTGAATTACTTCAATTCAGCTTTCTGCAATATCCAAAGAGTGACATAACTGGAACAATTTAATAAGCTACTAAGCTTTAGCATTCATTTCCTGTTCCCCTCCCCTCCAAGAGTTGTGATCCTGTCAGCTGAGAATGGACAGAGAAAGTGCTTCTGTTCTCCTTCAAAGCAAAAACAGAACTGCTTAAACCACCCTCCAGACATGTATGCAGTTTCCAAATGTTAACCTAGATCTACTTCCTGATATTTGCTTCTAACATGTTTCCAACCCATTTGAGTCAAGATTATTTTATCCAGATTTTTTTAGCCCTGTTTCAGAGTAGCAACCACAGGTTTATTCCATGTGCACAGCATCTGACGTGGCACTGTGCCTATGCATTGTCATGATTACAATCCCCAAATTTTCACCTTCCATAAAGACATAGTGCCACCAGAGACTTACACAGCCACCATGCATTAAAAACCCCCAGTACTATAACATCAGTGGGCATCAACAGAAAAAGTTTACTGCAGAAGCACTGTTTAAAGTAGCCTGATTTTTGCACACAGTTTGAGCATGATCTTAATATCATGAAGAGATGAGGATGTATATGTCACATGCCTCACTGCAGTCAGTGTGGAGCACAACAGAATTTCAAAATGACTTGATGCATTGTCTGTGGAGAGCCTGTGTTATCCAGGTGTAGTAAACCAAGCTGAAAAGTAGAAGGAAACTGAATATTCAGCTTTGCAACTGTTTGGATCTATGAAAGATTACTGTGTCTATGTTATTCAATCTCAGTGCAGTAGCACTGCAGAAAAAAAAAGTTGCAATAAATTTGGAGAAAGCCCTATAAATCTCCAAACTGTTTTTAACCTAAGACAAATGAACTCAGATTCAGTTCTTCATGTGACAATTCATAGACAAATGACAATGAGACATGATTAAAATGATGGTGCAAAACATTACTCTGGGGCATCCCAAGCTGACCCAGTGGTCTTCTGGCCAGGGAAACAGCATTTGATACTCCAAAGAGGGGGGAAGGATGTTGTTATTCCACCAGTAATGTTAGCCTTTCTGAAGTACTTCTCTGCACATATATGATGTTCTCTGTGTGTTTCTGAAATATGTTTTGCCCTCTTATAGTACCTTATATTGCAATAAAGTATTTAGTATATTAATTCTATTTTAAGTCCCCAGTTACAAGTTTGCACACACTCCTGCTGGCACTTCAACCCTTTAGGACTAGGCCCATCCTCTGTGACTTATCTCACTTTGTTGTTCACACAAGGGACAGTGCACATTTGTACTAAAGACGTGTCTCAGCAGATTATATCCCTTCTAGAGCTGTAAGAACAACCTGTATCAACCTTTAACTTGCTCAGTGCAATATCCAAAGGCAGGCAAAGAAAAAAACCCTCTCCTTTTCTCAACTGTTTCTTCCCTGAGGCAAGCAGGAGTTAGCAATGCCCTTCAAAGTATAGATGGTGCCAGGATGACACCATTCAGTGCAGGAAAGAAGTCTGATTTAGTCTGTGTAATGGGTAACAGGACCATATCTACTGAATGCACAAAGGAGCCAGTTCTAGTTCTTAGAGCACTAGTTCAGGACTTAAATGCTCTTGAATTGATTGTGCTTAAATCCTTGATATTCCATAGAATTGCTGTGGAAACCTTGGTAAGTCTCTTAGGATAAGCTCCAGCCTAGATCAGACATCTACTCTAATGCAGCTCTTCAGAACATCAGCTGCTGGCAGCAGCAAAGGGGGCTGGAATGGGAATGTGTCCCCAGAAGAGCAAATTCTAGTCAGCCCAGGAAATGGAACAGGGCTCTTGTCACAGTACAACCCCAGCTGGTAACTCAGCCCTCACAGCTGCTCACTCAGCAACAGTGAGATGGGGGGAAAGAACAGGAAGGGTGAAAGTGAGAAAACATGGGTTGAGATAAAGACAGAATAACAGGTAAGCAAAAGCCACACACATAAGCAAAGCAAAACAAGGAATTCGTTCACCCTTCCCATGGACCAGCACATGTTCAGCCACCCTCAGGAGAGCAGGGCCCCTTCACGTGTCACAGTGACTTGGCAAGACAAATCCCATCACTTGGAATATCCCCCTTCCTTCTTCTTCCCCTCAGCTTTATCTGCAGAGCATGATGCCACATGGTATGAGATAACCTTTGGGTCACTTGGGGCCAGCTGCTGCTGCTGTGTCCCCTCCCAAATCCTTGTGCACCCCCAACCTCCTTGCTGGTGGAATGAGGAGCAGAAAAGGCCTTGATGCTGCATAAGCACTGATCAGCAGTAATGAAAACATCCCTGTTTTCGGCAAAATTCCAAAACATGACCCCATACCAGCTACTGTGAAGAAAATTAGCTCTATCTCAGTCACAACCAGCACAGCTTTATGTTCAGGTCAAAATCCATTTCACTGGAATTAGGTACTGAAAATTGGTCTTTCACATCTCAGTCATTCACCAGAGTTTCCCTGTTTACTGAATGCACCCAGAATGAGTGGTATCAACATTTGTCTGTGCAAAACATTGTGGTACATTTTAAAATACCAAACAAATGTTTAACCATCACCATCTGGTTGTAGATATATCAATACAAACAACCAAACATGATACAATTAAG